TTATATAGACTGTCACATCAGTATTGCCAATTTCATATTTTTACTATTTTTTCGTAATTTTTAATTTTTCCTAAATATTAAAGAAAATGTAGACATCTACCAGCAAGAAAAAACTTATAAAGGTTGTAAAAATATTAATTTATTATTATATTTTCTAACGATAATTGTTAACAGTACTCACAAAATTATACGCCATTACTTAAAATCGGAACGTGTGATACTTAGTTTATTAGCAGTTGATAAAATACACAGTATTGCTTTCTATCATTTTTACTTCATAACGTATTAATATTGTAATAATTTACTCCTAAGAGACGAAAATTCTGACATTTATTACTGAACAACGCTGCTTTGCCTAAATGACAAGACATTCCTAAATAGTCCGGATCTCATGCCGAAATTTGAACCGATATTGTTGTTTTTTCTCTCACTCTCAATTTTTTGATTTGCATAGAAAACAACAACAATTTTACTCCTGCCATGCACGAGACACTCTACATAACGTGGCCCTAAATGGTATCACGTAACCTGAAACCACTGTTGACCAAAAGATCTAGTGCTAGCAGAAGTGAGAATCCATTAAGCAACAGCCGACATTGGTTTCGTTTTTTCGTTTGAAGGCACTCAGTAGCAAAATGCACCGTTTCTGATCTTTCTGTTATTAAATCTAATTAAAATAACTACAATTGCATTATCAAATCAATTGGTTGAATTATGAAGACCTTTTCCTTACGTGTACTACACTCTTATAACAGTTCCGTGAATTAAAATCTTGCAGATAATTACAGGTATATGGAACCAACAATAAAGTTAGATATAGAATTAAATTTCACTTGTGATCGACATTTCGATCCGAATATTTTTGGAATAGTTGGAATAATTTTCGATAACTAATTGGCACATAATTGGCAATAGTTCGGTCATAATGTAATGGGTGTTTACATCCAATGTGTTACTAGTTAAGGAATTTTTTTTAACAGACATCATCGTTTACATTATCTCACAATAAAAGTCCTATGGTGACAAATTGCATAATTTTTATAACCAATTCAGAAATATAATCTCTTTAATATCGAAATAAAATATGTATACATATTTCAAGGCAAGGTGCACTGACTTCTTGAATTGATTTTGAAATGCTTGTGTTTCTTAACAACAAATGAACTAGAGTATTTAAGGAAGTGCTTAAAATATCGTTCCTTAATTGATTCAAAAATCTGCACCATATTTGATCGAGCAACTTTCACTAGGATATTGGCGTAATTGAAACTTGCATATCATCAAAAGCATACACTTGGTACTCCATACAAATATATACAAACATGGTTTCCACATGTGGTACCATAGTTCCAGATTTGGTATTTTTTTTTCGTACAGTACTCGTTTTTCAAAAATGGTCCTTGAATTTTTACTGACAAAGAGTGAGTCAGCACATCTTCGTGAAATAAAAGTATTTTCTTTGTATATATACAATATAATAAGAACATTTTTTGAGAATTGCAATATTTAATTTGATAAAATTTTATTGCTCCAGTTATTGTGCGACGCTTTTTACTATATAATTTATAAACAACTAGCAATTATTATCACAAAACACAGCAACATTACTGACTACTTTCCTGTTGATAGCAGGGTCTTTCCGTTTTTAGGAGTTCTTCTACATTTTTCAAATCAGTGTTCTGATAAATCTTTGATGTCCAGAGTGTAGTGGTGAAGCTCATCACAAGTTAAGAATCTGTATCAAGAAAACCGAAGATTTTAAACTATCTAAGTTATTCCAGATTTGGTTCAAAGTTAGTATATATGGCACTTTATGCTCGAAGAACTTGTTCATACCACAATCTTCACAAAATCGGCACTTTAATCTAATAGATAATAGGCACTTTATCAAAAATAATCTTGTAGATTTTACCAGTACAGTTTTCTCTGTCTCACTTTTTTTGTTTGAATTAGTGAAAAAGGCTTACCTCTACTTTCGAGGCTTCAAATAGCAGTAGGTGGAAACCACCAAAAGCCACGATGTGAGACTTAAACCCACTAAAACCAGCTCTTAGGAATGAATGGAGCAGATTTGCCATTTTGTCGAAACTTATTTCAGTAATCAGAGAGAGATTGAGAAAGGGTGATAGGAGCAAAAGGTTTAATACCTAGTAGACTAGGTTTATCTAAGCCAAAAAGCATGGGTGTAGCGCAGGATGGAGTGAAAAGTAAATGAAGGGGGTAGGGTTTGGACTAGTGGTAAACTTTGTGACCGGGGTCACTTGAACTACAGTTGTAGAGTAAGATGATGGAGACGTTCGAATTCCGCTAATCTAAGTATATCCTTTAATCATATTTTCTTATTTTATTTTTGAAATTAAAATTACAAAATTCAAATCTAATCTAATTTTAAACTGTTTGTATTAAAAATAATATTTGAAAAAAATATTTTTGTTGCTATTTCACTACTGCTCGTTAAAAGCCTTTCTATTGAAAACATTACTTTTTATTAAAAATTTAGTTTGTTTCCTCAAAACAGACGTTAAACATGAATCTCTTTTAATTAAATCTTACTTAGATGAAATATCTAAATAGGTGTAACTATGTAGGTGTTATTATTTTAATTATTATATTGCAAAGAAATTATTTTATTTCTCTCGCAATCCCTAAAAGGTTTAAAGTTTTTTATTTGGTTAATACAGTTAATACAGTATGAGGATAGCATTTATGAAATTTTTTTAGTGACCTTCCTCTGGGACTTGGTTTTGTTGGCTTTCTTTAGAGGCAACATTTTTGAAAACCTATTATTATGCTTGATCTAACTAAACGGAATAACATATGCTTTCATGTCATGAAATTAAACAAAAATCTACCTAAAATGCCATATTAAAAATGAGTAACTGACTGGTATCTGAATACGAAACGAGTCACTCATTTATTTCACATTTCTTTGATACTTAAAATATTTATATTCGTTCGTCTTTGTAAAAGTTGCTTTAAATATGTTGGAGAAGCTTTAATGGAACATCTACAAGCAATTCACTCTGATGCATTTCATTCAGAAATCGTGAACAAATGCAGAAGCGGCGAAAGCAAGAAAAATGCACAAGAAAGTACACATCTGAATTATTTATGGCAGGATATGCAGCCTAAAAACTTCTCATGGGTGTCATTCACATCGACTCGAGAGTATGCTAAGCCGTTCACAAGGTAGGGCGTGCGGCGGCCATCGTTAATGCATATTTCAACACACACGTAAGAGCGAGTATCTTTGAAATATTTTTTGTTTTTACTTCTACGGATGCGGCCTACTGGATTGGGCAGCAATATGCGTGCCGATTTAAATGCAAACGATGGCAGTTGCATAATGGGCACAACGACAAATTCTTATGGCATTTGAGTGCATGCATTTCAATCAACTCGAGCTCGTGCTGTTCAGGGCATTAAATGCATTGTTTTTATTGTAATTCAGCCTTATTTCACATAAAGACAATCACTTTTCCATTACATTTTTGTGCTTAGAAAATTCAACAGAACAAAATTAATTTTTTATTACTCGTTGAGCTCACAAGGACTCTTTCATCACGACAACAAATAGAATATAATTTTTAGTTACAGAAGAATATTTGATCGTATATTGAAACTCAGGGGGAAACTATTTTCGTTTGTAGACATAACCAGTTAAAATCATTATGATAACTATTGTCTTACTTTTAATTAATTTTAAAATTAAATTGAAAACATATATATTCAGAAGAAACTAACCGGACACAAACGGGACTAGTGTCTACTTAGGTAAAAAAAACTGCCCATTTGATAGAACTTATACTCGCATAGGACTGTACCATGCAATGTTGCCGGTACAATTAAGAGAGTTAACTGTTTATGAGAATGACCATTTAACTACAATAGCTTCCACTGTACTTGCAGATAGTTATAGAAACAAAAAACAAATAATTTGCTATATTCTATGTAAAAGTCAATCATATTTTAATACACTTTGTACTGTAGGCAACCAACGATACTATATACTGTAGATACCTAGCGTTGTACAAAACTATTCTGCTCCAACTATCCAGATACCTAAAGACAGAGGGTTTGATGGGAATAAAGTGGTGAATGAGTTGACTTAGGAAACCGCCTCGAGGTAACCATTTGAACTGCAACCAACTCGTAAAGTCAGTGAAGTCTAATCACTACATAATTTTTAATAAATTGCACTTTACCAATAGAGTTAACCAAAAGTGGTTTATCTGGAAATGGTAACAATACACATAACTCTACTTTTCAAAATATTCAGAGCAGAAGAGGAAATTTCTCGTAAATCCTATGAGATCAGTTTTAAAAGCAATAACTTGATTGATTATCAAAGTAATCGGACTTTACGTATGGAACTAATCACAAATAACTGTGAAGGTTCTCGGTGTACAAAACTCTTTTTACCGTAATATTCAGGGAAGAAGCGCAAATATCTCCTGAATCTGAAGAGATCAGTTTTAAAAGCAAGAATTGTAGTGATAATAGGATTTTACGTATGGAAATCACCACAAATGGTTTCACTGAGAAGGCTACCGATGTATACAATTCTTATTTTCAAAATATACTGAGAAGATAAGCACTTTTAAATTCAATTATTGGAGTTATAATCCAATTATCATCTGCCTTCTTAATAAGCATAGGGTGCAGAGTTTCGACAGCCGACAAAGAAAGGCTGTGTATGGATCATCCTTACATCCTTTTGTATAGTACAGGAAAAATTTTTCACACAGGACTAAACCACAAATCAGAGTGTTTAAACATCGATACCAAAAATATTAAGATTTTTCTGAATACAGCTTAAATGAAAGAAAGTCTTCGATGAGATGGATACGATAGCATGCAATAGTCAAATGATAATACTAAAAGATCACTTCTATTGGATTAAAAAACTAAGCCATATATTTTCTAATACAGATAGTATGATTTTTATTTGTTTTTCTTTTGAGAGTTACTAAAGATAGTTTTCTATGATTTTATTGCAGATATGAAACTTATAAAGCTACACTGAAAAAGATACCTGCCACACGTTTATCTCGTCTAACTGAAGCACTCGCAAATTATGATCCAGTGCTCAATGAATATTTTTTCGATCGTCATCCAGGCGTGTTTACACAGATACTTAATTATTACAGGTAAGAAAGCAAAACAAACTCTATAGCTATGTTATTGTAATATAGTGAATAATATAATAGTGGCCAATATTTTATGGAGCGTTTATGAACAAAAAATCGGTTTCATTGATTAATTTTACATTATTTAATATTTATATTTGGGTCACTTGGCTAATAAACACTGACTCTGACTTTCAAATTTCGCAGGATATGAATTCAACTCTTGATACTTGCAGTCTCAAAAAGCTATTTACGAATCATTAAATATAAGAAATATTTTCAAAAAACCACTAATAAGGAGTATCTGACAATACTCGAAACAATAAAAAGCATTGTTGTTCACTACTGTTTGAAACCTTTCCATAAAAATTAATTTTGATAAAGTATATATTGGCCATTATTATTTGCGACCTTTTGCCATTATTTTTATAACTTAAAATTCTATTGATGTAAAAGTTCTGCGATTTACCAATAGAAAACTTGGCCAAGTGATTTTCAGTGGTTGATCAATTTTTGGCAAGGACCAAAATAAATGATAATCAGACGACTTAGCATTGTGATGTTGAAACACAGCTCCTTTTCTATTGGTCAATTCTGATCGCTCTTCAAGCTATCGGGTTGTAAGCAGTAGAGGACCAATTAACCATTGGACAAAGATGAAACAACTCATAATAGACAACTTTCTTCAAATCTCACCTAACACTAAACATAACCTTGTTTGTTGTCACCAGTCTTTAACCACGATTATTTGCATTGGATATTATTGTATTTAATGCATTTTTTATCGCCCATAATAATTTTGTGAAATGGTTCGATATTGTTGCATTTCAGTAGCGTTTCACTAATAGCTATTCGACAAATCAAATTTCTTTGAGTTAGTTAATTCATGTGGTACCCAAACATCGAGAGTCACACGCTAACTCCTCACAACTTGCGGGTTGGTTTTCCTTTACAAGTTGCAAAATTTTAACGACTTTTTTAGTGATAAGTCGAACAGATCGAGGTACATCTTTTACATCGAATTTTCCATAAAAAAATTAAGCAAACCCTTCATAGTTCCAGCATTCTCTCATAGCATCCTTACAGCAAAAAAGGTTCGCTATATTTTTGCAGCGTCTTTAACTTTTTTATCTGATATTTGCCTGATATTTCACTTATTTCGAAATCATCGTAACTTCTACAAGCAAAAAATATAAATTGGAATCTCACCTTTTAAAAACGTGATTGTTTAATATAATCAGATTATCGTAAAGATTTTCATTATAATTTTCATAGAACAAAAATATTCTTTTGAAATAACTCAATATTTTATATATACAAATCGCACTATCCATATCTGTAGGACACAGAACAGACAATCACATTTAAACTAGTGAAGTATGTAAACCTAGCAGCGTGTTTCTTCAATTGGAATGAACTTATATATCATAGGAAATAGTATATTCTATCAAGACTAATTCACCTCGACGAAATTCTTGTCTAAACTAAAGATACTATATACTAGATTTAGTAGATCGTCAGCTACGAAGAATTTTCTTTAATATAATAGCTATATCTTGGACAATATATAGTGATCTTTATATTGTCAACAGCAAAGTGTCAAACTTCAGTGTATAAGATTCATTGTTTAGTCATTTTCTTATAATTACTAATATTAGTAGAAAACCTACCACTTTACTAACTGTAATTGTGTAAGTTTTCACACCTGTCTAGTCCATAAAATATATTGGCAGCGATAGGCATATGCTAACTGAGACGATAGCACGGAGAGTCCGAAATTAAAGAGAAAAAACGAATTATCAAAAGAATCCTATTTCATTTATGCCTTTACCAAGGCTGCTAACAAAAAATCGAACTCTCTTCTAAACACCACAGCTGACTAAATGATGATCTAAATATTTTAGATAATGTTAATAATTATGTGGTCCTATTAAGAATTCATACATTTTGGCATACGAATATATATATTTGTGATATTCTCCTATCACATGTTTTGTTAAAAATTATCTCCTTTTATCTCAGGACTGGCAAATTACACTACCCAACTGACGTTTGTGGACCACTCTTTGAAGAAGAGCTTGAATTTTGGGGTCTTGATTCAAATCAGGTAGAACCATGCTGTTGGTCCACCTACAGCATACATCGTGACACCCAAGTAAGCATTAGTAATATTCTTCTATTATCATATAAATAATCTTAATCAATTGTACACAGAATACTTTAGCAATTTTGGATAAATTAGATATTGAAAATGAAAAACCATCGGAAGAGCAAATAGCGCACTTATTTGGATTTGAGGATGCATTGAGCAATGGGCAGTTAAATTGTTGGCAGCGAATAAAACCAAAAATTTGGGCTTTATTCGATGAACCATCAAGTTCAACAGGTGCCAAGGTATGTTAACTATACCTTACTAACTAGCATTAATTATAATTTTGTATAATAATTTGCATTCTCACTTTTTACAGATTGTAGCCAGTATGTCAGTTTTTTTTATATTTGTTTCTGTGATATCATTTTGCCTAAAAACTCACCCGGGTTTTCGAGTAAATTTTCCCACCAATACTCCACTAACTACAGATAATATGCCAAATTTACCTCAGCATCAAAACATGCCGCCCATGTTCGATTCCGCAAAGAGAATAAGTGCCGATAATATACCTAATATGCCCAATTTTAAGGTTATCAATTATACACATACGGCCAATATAAGTCTGACACCCCATGAACAACCCATAGCATCATTATCATTAAAAGGTGGAGCATTTAATCGTAAACGCCTGAAACGCTATTTACTCGGTACAAATGTTAGTAGTATTAATCGTTTCATTGAACAGAAGTTGTTGGGCAGTGACCGGCATGCCCATGGCTGGCATGAATCGTATGGCCAACCACACGAGGCATTCTTTTATGTTGAACTTGTTTGCAATGTTTGGTTTTTTGTTGAAGTCATCATAAGAATGATTGTAAGTAATAAATAAAAATGTCTTAATATAGTTTATAAAATAAATACAACATCTTTTGTTTGTCATAATTTTTTTAAGGTTTCTCCAAATATTTGGCAGTTTATCAAATCTCCTGTAAATATAATTGATTTCACTGCCACACTAAGCTTCTATACGGATGTCATGCAACGTATGGGTGAATATACGGGACTTTTAGAAGCTTTCTCCATAGTGCGCATTATGCGATTGTTCAAGTTAACTAGGCATTCGCCTGGCTTACGTATACTAATACATACCTTTAAGGCGTCAGCAAAAGAATTAACGCTTCTAGTGTTCTTTTTAGTGCTTGGTATTGTTTTTTTTGCAAGCTTAGCCTACTATGCTGAAAAATTACAGGTAAGTTCATAAAAACCGCTTCATTATTAATATGACATATATATTTCGATCCTCTTGGCTTGATGTTTTCATAAAAATTGTTAATGGATTTTTTAGTGATGGGTGTGTTCTTTTAAAAAAGTAAAATTAATTAATACCTATGACAGGTTCAAGATATAAGAGTATTTCCCAATCAAATTGTAAGATAAACCTTAAAATCCTAGCAACTCTACCATCAACTTTTTCAATTTTAAATTAATTCATTTATACTATTGCTTTTAATATATCTCTGTTCTGGTTCCTTTTAATTTTAGAGTATTTTGTTTTTTTTTAAACAATTTTTTATAACTTGGTATTTTTACTTTCTTCGATAAGATGTTTCCGAAGTCTATATATGAATATATTCTAGATCAACATTATAATTGCGACATATATTATCATTATCAAAATGTATATGTATATATATATTTTTACTTTCTTCAATCAGATGTTTCCGAAGTCTATATATGAATATATTCTAGATCAACATTATCATATATATATCATATATATCATATATAGATCATATATATGCTATATATACATATATATGTATATACCTTATATGTATTACGTTTCTTTTTAACGAGTAAACTGATCGAGTAAACGAGTTATAGTGCTGAGCCCAAACATCTATATAGTTTGGTAATGATTATTTTTGTTATATTTTGTTATTAGAATTGTAATGGGTGCTTACAAATATTTTAATTTTGTATTTAATTTTTGTGACTAACAATATTTTTTGTAAAATCCTCACTCTGGTAAATTTTTGGTATCTTCGTTAAATTGAAGTCCCGATTGAAGTTTCGATCATAAAGGACAAATACGATGGTTGAAAGATAACGACAATTCATGCAGTTATAGATGATTTTAGTTTATTAGAAGTTGACTTGAGAACATATCTAATAAATTAAAGCCTAAAATTAAGTTTGTATTATCTCCGATCTGCAATCGGAGAAGCAATTTGTAGAAAAAATTTCGACAAACTATTATCATGATTTTAACGAACCAAACAGGTATTACCCAAAAGGTTGTTAAGCTCAAGCCCCATTTATGAAAATATACTAAATCAAGTGTAACTGGTGAATATTCAACGTGTTTACAACAATATTTCTGTTTTATTTTTAGTTTTAACGTATATCAAATATGCTTATTTCTTTTGAAGGATAATCCAGACAACCAATTTAAGAGCATACCGTTGGGGCTATGGTGGGCTATAGTCACGATGACCACAGTTGGCTACGGTGATGTGGCTCCGAAAACTTATCCAGGCATGTTTGTTGGCGCACTATGTGCATTAGCCGGTGTCCTAACAATAGCACTACCAGTACCTGTAATCGTTAGCAACTTTTCAATGTTTTACTCTCATACACAAGTAAGTAAAAACGAGTTAAAAAATTGTTACCAAATAGTTTTCAATTATATAGCTGTAACGACATTGAAGGGACCGACTAAATCTGGTCGGTATAACCTTTGCGTCCTTGTAATCGACATAGAATTGATTTTAATAATAAGTGATAAGTAACAAAAAAAAAATTTTTTTTTAGTCGTTATAACTAGTAGTCAGAACTAAAATTTAATTTAAATATGGTCGCAATAACTGATATGTTATTATATATTATATTTCGTTTAAATAAATGATACAAAAAATTATAGTTAGTTGCGGTAGAGAGAGAACCGAACTCTCCTCAATTAGCTAAGGCAACCGTTTCGAATCCACATATCGTCATAATAATGAGTAGTAAGGACAAGATCAAGATAGAACCAAGGTAGAGGTAGAGACATTTATATAGGCAAGAATCTGACCAATGTTAAGACTAGAGATATCGCAGAGTGTGTTGATAAAGGGAGTCCCAAGAAACATAGACATAGCAGGTGTTCTGGTGTCTTTTCTTCGATAGCTGGTAGGCACGCATTGCAGGAGATAGTACGTGGTAGGCTAAGTCTAGTACCGTGCCGTTCTATGCTCCATTTCCGTGTAAAGACAAATATTAACCTAATTACCCCAGATTTGCTCCTGTGTAATAAGTCAGAGGTTGTACATTCAAAATAGATTGGGCATGTAACCCTTGACCTAACTGCTCAATATTTGCTTGTCACAAAAAAATGATCATAAATCAACCTACGACCATAGCTGGCAGGGGCAAGGATTGAAAAAAGGGTTTTCCTAGAAGAGGCGACCAGCAAGCTCGTCTGCGCGCTCATTTCCTGACCTCTCCCTTAGTGATAAAAAAAAAACAATTTAAGTAATATTCAGTCAAGCCGGTTACGACCGTATCAAAAGCACTGACTGAATCTGGTCACTATAAGTATGAGTAAAGGGCAAAACAAATTTGATTTTATTAAACAGTCGTTTAATTCAGTTGGAGGTTATATCAGGTGTTTTTATAAGTAGTTTCTATGGTATATATAAATTAATAGGTGTTAAAATACTTTTAATTATTATTATTGTTAAAATAAAGACTATATAAAAATCGTTCATTTCATAGGCGCGTTCCAAATTACCAAAGAAACGCCGACGAGTACTGCCTGTCGAGCAACCAAGACGAAAACGTGAACACTGTCTTCCACCACGTGGACGTGCAAATGCCATCAAACAAACTCCTGCTGCGACCAATTTAGCATCAAGCACATCTGCAAGCACACCTGGGCAACCCACTTTTAAAGACACGTTTGGAAGTGCGAAAATTGGTAATTAAAAAAAAACATCTATTTTGCTAGCGATTAATTTAAAAAAAAAAAAACAGAAATTTTACATATATATATAATAATTTTGTAAATGTATATGTTTTTGCTTTTTATTTTGTATTGTATGTATGTATGTCTATGATTTGGTTGTCAATGTTGTTTGTTGTTGGTGTTGTTCGCTTTTTAAATAAATAAAAAATGCATATAACCACTGGCATAAACGTACCTGCTAACATAAACGTAAACGTAAACGCAAACGTAAATGTAAACGTAAACAAAAACAACGTGAACTGTATGCAAAGGCAACGTTAAGAGCGTTAACGTTATTGGACTTGGCATGCAAGAGCCACAAGTGCCTCTGGCTGCTGTTATGAAAGCAACAACCACAGTGCAAACATCGTTTATGGTGAGCGGCCCCATGGTTATTAGATGTAAGTGTGTTAATTAAGTATTTTTATATAAATTTACAGCACATTTATTGTATATGTAATGCATGTAAAATCCACCCTCCCAAAAACATAGAAATATAAAGACATGTAATTTGCCTCTGTTAAAAAAATCATGAATTCTGAAAAGGTACACGCAATGGGAAAAACATGTCTGTTCAAACGTATAAACAATCGAACTTATTATTTTATGTATGATCAATGCTATTTTGTTACTGAAGTCAGCAATCAAACCAATAGCGAATATGTTGTGTTTTGCTTGGACAAAATCATATAGAAAAAAACTCTAATATCAGAGCAAATGCACACATAGCTTCTAGTTCATGCGTATGTAAGTTTCTTGGTAAATTTTTTCTACTCTTCTTTTTATTGCACACTTACTAAATATATATGCATGGGTAGGTGAGACAATATTTTTGAATGTGATGCTTGGATTTTGTTTGTGTGCTTTTTTTTCCTTAAAATGTATGACTGGCTTCGTGTGCATGAAATACACAAGTCTTCCAAATTATTTAAAATTTGATTTTTGCTGAAATTTTATACTGGCTTCATACTAAAATATGATGTTTGCCTATGACATGATGTGAAAACACCGGAGTAGCGCAACCACAGTTGTTATTAGTGTAAATGCTCTTAATATGTTTGGCTGTCAAGACTCGGCTATGCCATACAGTAACACTAGGTTCATGAAGAATATTCATAAACACCATATTATACAATAATTTATTATTATGTCTTATATATTAAGTTTTTATTATTATATTCTTATATCATATACAATAGAATTATTAACTAAATTTTATTACTTATATTATATAGACTACAACTATAAACCTTAGATAACTAATTATACATTAACTTAAATTAACTGGAAGTATTAACTAAATTTATAATTGCATATTACTTATAACTGTTTAAAATAAGTTTATGTAAAAATATATTTATGTAAAAATATTAGTCTAATAATATTTATGAATGATTAGAAAAATTAACAATAAATAATATTATTCACCCTTATATAAGTAATTTTATTTTAAATAGTTATAAGTAATATGTAATTAAATTTAGTTAATAGTTCTAGTTAATTTAAGTTAATGTATAATTAGTTATCTAAGGTTTATAGTTGTAGTCTATATAATATAAGTAATAAAATTTAGTTAATAATTCTATTGTATATGATATAAGAATATAATAATAAAAACTTAATATATAAGACATAATAATAAATTATTGTATAATATGGTGTTTATGAATATTCTTCATGAACCTAGTGTTACTGTATGGCATAGCCGAGTCTTGACAGCCAAACATATTAAGAGCATTTACACTAATAACAACTGTGGTTGCGCTACTCCGGTGTTTTCACATCATGTCATAGGCAAACATCATATTTTAGTATGAAGCCAGTATAAAATTTCAGCAAAAATCAAATTTTAAATAATTTGGAAGACTTGTGTATTTCATGCACACGAAGCCAGTCATACATTTTAAGGAAAAAAAAGCACACAAACAAAATCCAAGCATCACATTCAAAAATATTGTCTCACCTACCCATGCATATATATTTAGTAAATGTGCAATAAAAAGAAGAGTAGAAAAAATTTACCAAGAAACTTACATACGCATGAACTAGAAGCTATGTGTGCATTTGCTCTGATATTAGAGTTTTTTCTATATGATTTTGTCCAAGCAAAATACAACATGTTCGCTATTGGTTTGATTGCTGACTTCCCTAACAAAATATTGATCATACATAAAATAATAAGTTCGATTGTTTATATGTTTGAACAGACATGTTTTTCCCATTGCGTGTACCTTTTCAGAATTCATGATTTTTTTAACAGAGGCAAATTACATGTCTTTATATTTCTATGTTTTTGAAAAGGTGCTGTTAACGCACTGTAGTTTGATATGCTGAGAACTTAGTGAGCAAGACTCAAGATGTATTTTATTTATTTTTAGAAGAAGAAAGTTATTCAATGGTTCCATGAATTTAAAATAATATTTTTTTATCTACATATTTATCTTTTAGGAAATTTTTATTTTCTGTATTTATAGCAAATTCACATTACTGTCAAACTTCCATAACTCGAAGTACCATTTTGCCAAGAAAGAAATGGTCGACTCGATGGTTATGGAGACTGATTATGGAGACTTCGAGTTAGGGAATTTTTTTATTTTTTTTTTATTTTTGAAAGAAACTAGAATTACAATTTAAGATATTTATTTATTTAAAATCAATTAGAGCACAGAAGTTATAGTGAAGTGAAACATTTAGAAATCAGAGTTTGGGATTTTAATTTTTTTTCTTATTTTCAGAAAAAAAAGGTTTCAATTTATTTTAAGCCCTATAGTGATCAACAGTTGTACTATCATTTGTTTGCGAATAAAAATTCAGAATTTTAAATAAGTCTTCTACTTCATTCTTGAAAGGTTAACGAACAATGTCAGCCACCGAACCTTCATTATCACTTTCCGTTGCGCTTAGAATCGGATCCACTATAATGAGATAGAGCTATACGCTCAATAATATCGTCACCTGTGGGAAAGAAATTTCATTGTCAAGCTCAATATAATCGTTGAATCGCATTGAAAGTTATTTTATTTATTTAAACCACGCATTTGCACAAAAAAGAGAAAAAAAATTAAAATTTTGGTTTAGAAAAAGGGACTTTCCCTAACACCAGAATGGATTCATACTTAAAACAAAAATTCGACTTATAGAATGAGCTTTCCTCCACTTCTATTGGCATGTGACAGTACTTTTATTCGAGTTATAGAGAAATTTGAGTTATAGAAGTTCGAGTTAAGGAAGCAGAATTGTAAGTAATTTGCTCTCTAAAACCCTGTTGCACACTTTTTAATTCGAGTTATAGAAGTTTGAGTTATGGAAGTTTGACTGCATTTGATATTATCGGGTCTTTTATTAGCTGCATGAGAACTTAAAATGATAATACAAGACAGAAATATTGTTGGAATGAAATTTTTTTTATTATAATCTGTTAGATAATATTATGGCATTTGTTTTTTTACATGCAGTGGCGACACTAGATGTCGGCGACGACCTTGCGCCCAGAGGGACCTCGCAAAAAGTTGTACATATTTCTTAAAACATTAACTCCACTTGCTAGGGAAAAAATTATTTTGTTTGTCTCTTATACCGTAAATAAGAGAACCTTTTAACAATGGAGATATTTAGTGTTAGTCCCAACTGTGTAAAATCTGGAAATCATGGTTTGTTTTTGATAAACGCATTTAAAAATGTACTTTAACTCAGAAAGTAAGATTTACTGTAGCTGCAATTAAGAGGCCTACATTCCTTATTCATTAAGCAAACCTGCAGGAACAACAATAACGTTTCTCGGGTTTATCCTAAAATCTATTTACTTTTTTTAATTTCAAACAAAGTTTAGTCGATCTTAAAATCGCTCTCTGAAACAAGATGGGAGAGTAGAATCAAAGCAGTAAAAACGATATTTTTGCATTTTGTTGATGTTATATTGAATTCATGAATGACGTGCGAAATTAAACAGATAAGTTAGCAGTCCTGTGTGAAATGCAGGATTTTGTTTTGTTGTTGAAACGAATTATTTAGTTCTAAATTATGGTTAATAGAGTTGGTTACAGTTAGGACTTGGTAATTGTCATTTAATTGACATTAGGTGAATCTGGCAATCTGGATTATTTTTATTGTGAATCTTTTTTGCGTTAAAAGTGACAGAATGACTATCGACAAACCTTCCCTCTGTCACTTAACTTCTTCTAAGTGGAATTTACCATATTTTTTCCTGCAAAACTTAGACAATTTAGCTTAGACGTTTTTTTAATTGCACCTGAATTTAAAAAAAAAGAACAGCAAAGAAGTAACAATGGTTCAGTTATAAACATATTATGACCTATAAAATCCATTGAAATGCGGCAAACAGTAAGCTTTTTTGCCACAATGATAGAAGCAATCATAATTGATACCGATTGTCGACTCAAAACACTTAATTGATATTTTGAACAATTTGGTTTTTTATATGACACTAATCATATGAAAAGTATATTAAACGAAAACCTTCTCAAGCATTGTAATGCTTCAGGTATAATACTTAGGGAAGGTGAAAACACAGACATTCAGCCTTTTTAACTGTATTCGGAAATGCTACTTTTAAAGTCAAACTCACCAGATCCTATTAACGATATAAATCAACTCATCTTGAAGGAAGCTTCTCCAAGTTAAAATTGTCTATCTGTATGGACAATTCTATCAATTGCAGCGAATATAGCAGCTGGTGTAAATTATGATATAGTTTTAAAAAAATTCATTATTTTAATTTAATATAATTAATTATTAATTGTAATTAATTTATTTTTAAACTCGGTAATGAAAGTGGCCTAGCTCTGTCACTGGTTGCATGATCCATTTAACCAGTCAAATAATATGCAATAAATATTGGCAATAAATATGAGCGTATGGCGTCAATAGTGGAATGAACATTGGCTTCCATTGCTTCAACAGTTACTGGTTTGTCGGTTGTCTGCATAAACCAATGACTTAACATAGACTCATCTCCATAAAAAGTAATCGAGAGGCTGTAAATCGCACCAACAGTTCACAGGACCACAGTTTGACCAGTTCACAGGACCAATTCTAGAAAAAAAGTTATTACCAATTTGCAATATTGTATGGCAAGTTCAGTCGCACAGTGTGACAAAACAAAAATCATCCGATCAAAATTTAACATTTTCGAAACCAGTAGAAGTATTGAAATGAAATTTTCCTAAAATATAGTTTTATAGTTTTAAATATAGTTTTGGTCTTTCTTTTAAATATAATTTAAGCCCAATCAACCTACCGGATTCATACAAATTTTGGATGAAAAATGGGACATTTTATGTTGTCCCTAGTTCCCTCAAAAACTATGATAGGTAGAAAGTTGAATTTTTACAAAAAAGAAAGAAATATATTTTACAAAAATAAATTTTTATTTGAAGAAATATTATGTAATGGAATGATGATCTTACACAAAATCTAGAAAAATGTGGTTCAAAAAAATGTAGGAAATTTGAAAGATTTTCAGATAAGAAAATTAAAGGGACGTGTTGTGTAGCTAATGGATTGTACTGTTGTGGTAAAACCACATCTTTTTCATATCCAAAAAAACTGGTAATCATGTGATTGTCACCATCAAGCCGGCCTTCATCATTTTCAAAAAAGTATCCTATCCTACCCAACCCATCACATATCCGTTTTGTGGATGCTAAGATATTTCGACAGTTACTTGTGGACGTACACTGTTTTTGATATGATAATTTTTTTTCTTCACGTATCAACTAAACGAAAAATGAGCCCCATCACTGAAGATAAATCGATCACAAAAATCGTTACCGTTTTTGTAGTAAGTTTTCACAATTAAACCCAGTCAAGAATTGAAAACAGTTGCATTTTTTAAAATGACAAACCTTTAACTAAACAAATAATGACTTTAATAAAAGCCCTATTTTTCATGTGGCGCTAGAACCGTGATACCCATATAAGGACCACGGATAAGCTTTTGTAATTTTTCTCAACATCAAACGAAACGGTTCAGCGATGTCCTTCCGTCTGTTTGTTTGTGCGTCAGAAATGCATATAGTTACTAACAAGGATAATTGAATGAAATTTTTCATAACGAATAATTGCGAATCCGGGCAGATCCAATTAATATATGTATAAAGTTGGTTGGCCACATCAAGAAGCAGGCACACAAAAAAACTGAACATATGTATAAATAACCATTACATTTTACGTCCAAAAATCAATTTAAATACGACAATATGACAAAAAAAAAATGTCATAAGTAAATTGTAAATGTTTGATTTACCATTGACCTCACTATCTGTGTGAAGGGTATTAAGGCATCAGCCAAACCATAGCAAGTTTTAATCACATTTTTTTTTCTTCTATTAATTTTTAAATATTTATAACAACTTTTTTTACAATTACACAAACCGTTTTAGTTAATTTCAGTTATGAACTCATAAACTATTCAAAAAAGAACTTTTGGGATTTTTCTGTATTTTTTATTAATAATATTTACCACACCAACGCCTACGTATGCACTTCCAATATTTTATTAATTTAGTGGCAACCACAAAAAACACGTACTCAAGCTGAAAGCGTCAGTAAAGAAATTAAATATTAACTATTTTTAAAAATCAGTCATAAATCCAGCTATTAAAGTGGCTGACCTTTTTCTGTTAATGTTTAAAAATCTTGAAAATCACTACAGAATAGTCTCGCTAATCACGACATATAGTAAAGTACTATAGAGTGTGTTATTTAGTAGATACATTTCTGAATTCAATGCTCCGCAAGCAAGTAATAATAAATCTATCCGCTAATACTATCTTTATATTAAGTCATTTTTGTGAAATCATCATATAAGGTCTTATAACCGCACAGAATTCCACATATCCAACATATGTGTTCAATGAAAATGCATGTTTCCGGAATGCCACACCATAATACCATGAGGCTCACCATTGCCATTAGAATGACAATTCTCATGGTAAGATCGTCACATGTACAGAAAAAAGAACTAAAAGTGATCCCATGAGGTTCACCATTGCCATTAGAATGACAATTCTCATGGTAAGATCGTCACATATACAGAAAAAAGAACTAAAAGTGATCTCTTTGGTATCAATACATCTTGAAAAATTAATTTAATATAATAATATAATATAATATATAATATTATATATATATAATATTATTTATTATATTATATATATAAATACCGCCGTCAGTGATGTTATTGCATTGTTTTAATATATGGATCATTCTTTTAAAAACGAATGGATTTTGACAGAAATAGATTTCATCAGCTCCGATTTGGATGAAATTTTCTTTTTAACTTCATTTTTAGTATAAAAATACACTTATCTCGCTAAAAATCTCTATAAATATATTAATACTATATAATGCTATCGGGTTCAATTTTTTAAAAAAATTTCATAAAAAATTTAAATCAAAAATAAAAAAAAAATTTTCAATGTATGTTTTCAAAAACATTTTTGATCAAATAATGTTTAAAATTATTAATCGTATATAAACAATTTTATTTACTGAAACCATTTCTAAAATACTCGAACAATTATCTACACAACACAAAAAATTTCAAATCTCTACCATTTACACAGTCCTTGACATGACCAAAATTGATATAAAATGCGAATTCTCAAAACCCATAAATCCATATAAACTCGTAAAAGAAGTTAAAAACATTTTTCCGAAGTATAGCTATTTCTAACAGGGTTCGAATAGAAATTAATACTCGTAAAAGAAGTTAAAAACATTTTCCCGAAGTATAGCTATTTCTAACAGAAATGAATAGAAATGGTTCGAATAGAAATGAAAAGACAATAACAACAATTTTAGCAAATTTCGCTTTTTCGGATATTGCCAAGTACTCGTCATCAGTGATCTTAGCAAAAAATATTCGAATTTTTTAATTTGTTTATAGTCCATATCCAAGTAGACAAGGCTGCAAAAACTTTTAATGCTCAAGTTCCAAGTTTTTTGTCACTTTTTATTTATCTATTTTCTATACTATGTTCATTTTCTATTTAAAAAAAATCTCAATAAAAATATTTTATCCAAACAGGAGGTGACTCATATATCAAGAAAAGTGCTAGAAAATTATTAACGACGGTACTCCAATTTCCACAGCCCAATGATGCCCAAAAATAGTGCTTAACAGTTAATTTTTTAATATGTATTAACACCAAATGGATCAGATTTTAATTTTCTTTCTGCAATAATAGGTCTATATTTTATCCAAAGACTGCATATAAGCAAAAAAACTTTTATATGTAATCGTCTAAGTTTACAAAACAAATTTTGGTTTTGGTTCTTTGTTTCTTAGGATTCTTTGTTTCAACAATATACTATGATAATTATACGAACATATCGCACGTTAATTATATGTCTGTCATTGTCTTCAACATTTTATGTCTGTCAACAGAAATGTAATAATAAATTAATTTATCTAATCAATGGAATGAGCCTCAGCTCCCACTGTCCCTGGTATTTTCTGGTACTTATTATTTCATTTAGAGTAATAAACTGCTTATGGAGTTTGTAGTTTAATTTGACATAAGATTGTATATATTTAGAAGTAATTAAGTTTTTAATGTTTGTAAAAATGTTTATGATAGTTCTAATTAGCAAACCAAACTTCCAAATTATTTTGTTATTATAATAAATATGATATATATTTTTATTATTTCTCTTAATTATTTTATTATAAATATTTAGTTAATTATATTAATAAGAATTAATTTGAAATCAAACTTTTATTATTAAATTTACTTCATATCTTAATTATTACATGTATAGCCGATTATCTCAAGGTGCCCCCTATGCAAAGTTTGCAACCACGCGCCGCAACTACTGGACATGATTTTATGCTGCCTCTGCAACCAAGGTTATTGGCCCCATTAGGTAAGTTTAAAATTTATTAAAAAAAAATTTAAACATCATGTCAAAAATAATATTTAAACCATTTGAGCTTCTTAAATTTAATGGTTAATCACTATGCACTAAACTTAATCCCTCACAATTCAGTTGGTGAGATACCAGATACTATTTAAAAATATACTACTCCAATGAAAAACAGATTGACACTATTTGAACAGTAGTTTTAATAAAATTTTAATTTAAAGGTGGTAAAACTCAACGATATGCAGGCATTTGTATGCAATTTGGCCTTGTTCCGATAAAGGGAAACACAAAATTCTCATTGAGATGCCACGTAGATATATCAGCCTTTTAGTAAGTTTACTTACAGCTCACTGTAAGCTAGGGAACCATGCTAGAAGATTTAATCTCCCTTTCAAACAACTGTGTCGCAGCTGTGGGGAAGACGATTGGACTACCTCTCATTTAATATGGTTTTGCCCAGCTCATGCACGGCGGCGATTTAATACTTTAAGAGCCCCCTTTCTTGAGGATCTTGATCAATTACAAGATCTGACACTAAACAACATTTAGGGCTTCACCAAAAGTTCTAGGTGGTTTAAAACTCTGAATTATTCCCATATAATGAGCCAATAGATCTAAGTGGATCCCCTAGGAATCGCCGGTATAATCTAACCCAATCTTAACAGTAATTTCAACCACTATCTACATGGATGTTATGAAATCGAAAAAATTAAAAGTAAAAAATCATAAAATAGGTATAAGAATAGGAATCATAAAAGATGTAATGAGAAAATGTTTGAAAATCAGAATTAAATTATTTATAGATGAAATATATATTATTTTCCGTAACACCAACTATATCATAAACTTATCATTTTTGTTAGGATGACTTAAACTCGTTTAGACTTGATGCTCGCTGTGATACCTTAAAGTGGGAAATAAAATAAACCTTTCTTGATTCACTTATATCGAGGTTCTCCAATGATTTAATGCAAGCTTTACTGCACATGAATATATAAACATTCCTTTTTGATGTTTTATTACGCCCCATCGTTAGTGGTCCTTTAAAGTAGTGTTTTAAAGGGATAGATATCCTCCTTGTCAATGTAATCTCAACAAAATGAAAACTATGCCAATCTAATATTTATTCTTACACTTAAGTTATATTATTAAAGTTATATTATTAAGTTATATTATGAATAATAAAACATAAAAAATACCGGGTAAAAGTTAAAAATATCTGTGGAAGAAAAAGGTTAGAAAAGTTAGTTTCAGATATTAAATTATCTTAAAACAGGGCTTACAATTATATACTTAGGAGTCCAAAATGAAAGATGGCAGCGCAGAAGCAGAAATTATAGTACCGAAATTCCGTATAGCAATCACAATGAGAAAAATCGGTTCCATTTTTCAGACGGAAGTTCATGCCTGAGAGCAATGTGCGAGAGAGCGCCTACGCAGGGGCACTAGAGGTACGAAAATATGCATTCTTTCGGACAGCCAAGCCGCTCTAAAATTTCTAATAAACTCCTCATTCCAATCAAAGTTGATCTGGTAATGCTTTCAACTCTGTCGACTCTGTCATAAGGAGAAGGAAACATCAGAACATATTCATTGCAAGCGGCAAGGCTTAGACTTACTCCCAAATCAAATAGGTAAAATTAAGCCCACAGCAATTACGAAATTTATAAAAAGTCAAGAGTTGTTTTAGTTGAACCCTTAGCCGTACAATAGATCTTTTAGGTTAGCATGCATTCATAGCATTCATATTATGCATTCATATTACTATGTAGATATATTTATTTACATACTTATGGATATACAGTCAAACTTCCATGACTCGAAATACCATTTTGCAAAGAATAGGTGTGACTTATGGAGACTTCGAGTTAGAGAATTTTTTTATTTTTTTTTAATTTGTGAAAGTATTACATTTTAAGATATTTATTTATTTGCAATCAAATACAGCACAAAAATTAAAGTGAAGTAAAATATTCAGAAATTAGAGTTTAGAATTCTAATTTTTTTTTTTAATTTTTAATATTATCATTATTAAAAGTTTAAAACTTGATCTTTTTTTAGAACGAAAAGAGCATCATTCAACGCTCCATCTAAACAGACATCACCTAACTACCGAAGGAAAAGATGTCCAACTCCATCAATTCAACGATAGCAAATCAACTTTAAATGTTTCTCCAGCAATCATCGTTGCCGCTGCACAAACGACGACTGGAGTGCCTGCCACAAATGTTGGTTTGAAAACAACACAAATGAAGACAATGCACGGAAGTAGTGGAAGTCTCTCGACCCGAGCACATCCGAACTGCAACATAACAATTGCGGTTAATACTGGTTCAACGCCAGAAAAACTAAATATATCTGACTATCAACAGCTCTCTCATCACTACCACCATCACCAATCACCGAAAGTAACATTGCTGCACGACAACGGTGGCAACGGTGGTGAATGTTATATCGATGGAGAATATGATGATCATAATGGAAGCAGTAATACATCTGCGCCTAATGGAACTGACATTTATGGTACAGATTGTCGCTGAAACCAAAGACAAGAATGTAAGATTTAACATCGCTTTTGACATTTGTGTTCATTTCCCTAAAATTCTATAATGAATTAATATTTGCAATTAAGAGTAACGAGTACGAAAGTTTAATAAATATTTTTGTCGACTTTGCCATTTTTTAAACATAAATTAAAAAAATCGTTTAAATTTAGTAAAATCGATTCTTGGTATTCCGCTTGACAAGACGAAGACAAGTCACTTTAGTACTTTGTTTATACGAATATGTAGATTAAACAGAAATGTGAGCTACTTGAGAGATACTGTCAAATATTGGTTTTCAATATTGATTCTTTGATTTACCAGGCTCATCTATTCATATTTAATAGAAAAGTAGAGATGTCGATTTTTCTCTCCAACTAAAGGAACGGTTTGAGAAATGTCGAATAGAATTACCAAGCAAATGTAGCTCAGACGAAGCAAGACAGTAGATAGATTAGTCGCAATTTTGAATAAACTTAAATACTGTTGATAGCATTGAAAGTACATTTCTAATAAGTACAAATTGAGAAGATTTTGACGGTAGTTGTCTAATAAAACGATACAGAATTTTTTTTATAAAGTAGAATCCTATCTCACACTTATATCCTATATATTCCAGCATGAACAACAAAATGATCGATAAGTCAAACTAAATTAAGGGGTTGGTCAATCGTTTTATAAAGTTTGTTTTTGTCTTAAGCTTTAATTTGCTTATTAAATAATTTCGATCTTAGTCGAATTATTTTCTGGTAATAATATCAACTTGTCCTGTGAGACAGATAGATTATTTACATAGATTAAATATTCTTAACACCAATTTTTCGTTTAAACAAAAATACGGTTTCTATAAATTTCTTACAAAAACTAAAGTCTAAGTACTTTTCAGACAGCTTCCGAATTTACCACCGAAATATCTAAATTATTTTTTATTAGGTCTTACCTCATATTTACATGTATCAGACTGAAGGCCACACAGAAGGCCGTATATCGAAAGAGTAAATATAGGCATACACCTTTTAAATAAAATATTTATATCATGTCAAGTGAGGACTAAATCTCAAATCTTGACTTAAAGCTTGTGGTTTCAAGCTAAAACTGTATAAAGTTTATAATTAACTGACTGTCCTATTAAGTGACCAAATGAGATGAGAATGATATAGGTTCGAGAAGACAAAATCTCCAAAAGTAATCTACATCAATTTTAGTCAGCTTATCAAAGCTAACTAAAAATAATGTAAGATAAATATTACATATAGTAATACGTATGACATATAGTATGTATGTATGACTGTATTGTATATAATATTGATATATATCTTATCCACCAACTAAACAAATTTACTTTTGTATATTATTTTTCAATTTATTTAATTTGTTAATTTAATCTTTTAATTAAAAAGAAAAATTATTTATGCTAATCTTAATCCAATTTAAATTAAATTTTAAAATATTAAAAGATATGTATAGTCATATATTAAAATATCTGTTTCCAAACAGAGCAGATTGTTAGCAAAATTGAAAAAAAACTTTTATATACATCATAAAAAATTAAATATAACTTTATATCCCAGAAGATTTCTCTTCAGCGTAGAGTCATGTCAAAATTTAGGTCTTCGATAATCTTTAAAGATATAAAAAAACATTCTATTTAAAATTAAGGTTTTTTTATTCATCCTGCCTTGTGGAACACAATGTAATTAATAAATACCAATAAACCATAACGTAATAAAAATGATTCCTAAAGAACTTTTACGTTTTGACCGGTGAACACAAATAATTTAGGAAGAAAATTTTCATTGTTAAAAGTCTGAAAGTAGCTTCGATTTGAAGTATACATACATTTTTTTTTTTCTGTTGAGATTATAAGTCTTCGGAATGCTTCGAAGTACGTTCCAGAATATAAATTACATTAGGTGAGACACTACTCCAACGACCATTAAGATAACCTTGATCCAATAATGCCCCTGATCCTCTCATTGGAATTTTTTCAATGTTAATAAAAATTTAATCAAATTGAATTTTTAATATGAGATTTAATAATCATTTATAAATAAATTAAATTTTAAATAAAATAACAAAATATATAATAACAAAATTAAGTATTTATACTAATAAAAAAAATTTAATTTAATTTTGAAATTAACCAATTTCTTCAAAGTTGAAATGAATTATTATTATTTTAAATACTAGAAATAAATAAAATGTCGGTCTGTTTTTTAAACTACATCGGATAGGTAACTAATTTAAGTTGAAATTATTGCAGTCCTAGCGAAGATACAAAGCACACTGCGAAGATTCAACATTCTATACCCTAACGACTGCTCACTCAAAGAGTAGAAAAAACGCTCTTCAATTTCTCCGGCATTGTTCTATAGAGGTCAGAATGAATATAAACTCTATAAATTTACGTCACTTCATTCGATGACGACTAACTTCATTAAAATAATCAGTAATATTCCAATCGAGAATATGGCTTGACTTAGTGGAGAATTAGAAATTTATAAGGCACTGACCCCTAAAAGAGCCTAGTACTGAGAATGTATTAGCTCTTTTATGCCAATTATGCTGGTGTTTGAATGTTTATGATTTAAGTTGGCCAATCTGTTTCTATTGGAAAAAGACCATCAGTGCTTCTTATTTAATCTAATGTTATTATATTAGTGCATTACAATGATTTTATGCAGTGTTTATGCAATTTATTTTCAAGGGGGAAAATAAAACCATTCACATTGAATTGTGAATAAATTCAAATTGGATAGACAATAAATTATGAAATCGTACTTCGATAAATATCAGAACAAAAATAAGCTAAAATATGCCCTAAAAAAGATATCTAAGATTTATAGCAATTGTTTAGTCCAGTCTCGAAGACGATTTTATCAGATCAAACTCGTACATTTTCTATCTGTTGTAAAAAGGAACTTATTTCAATCTTAAACCCACGAATAATTCCATCTTCATTTCTCTTAAACAATTTCCAAAGTAATTTTTATGGATTTATAACCATCGTTTTTACATGAATAAATCTTAACATTGTATTGTGTCCATACTTTTATTTCGTTTTCTACTATAGTGCTCCCTTCTTAGCGAAGTGCTTATAATTTATTTCCCCTATCCATTTCCGCTTCTAACTGTCCACTAAAATCTAAACAAAATAATATGTAATATGCTTAGGAGTGTTTCCACCATTTCCCCCCATTTCCCCCCATTTTCAAACAAATTTCTATTATAGTTTAATAGTTTTATTTAAGAAAATGTAGAAAAACTTATAATCCCCGTTTATCCTTACTGGAATGTAAGCATCGTTTTTTCAGGAAAATATTTGAATATAATTTTAAGATATTTTTCGTATGTACTTAAAATATATATATATATATATATATATATATATATATTTTGTTAGATATATATATATATATATATAATATATATATATAATATATATATATATATATATGTATGTATGTATGTATATGTATAAATTGTGAATCAATCAGAGAGAAAATGTTAATATTATAAATTATGTTTTAGTTTTAAATATATTGTTAGCTATATAAATAATTAAATATGAAAAAAAAATTGTTGTTAAAAAAAAAATAATTTAAATAATTTTAAATACTTATCTTATTTAAATTTTAATAAATTTAATAATATTAATAATAAATAAATTTTTTAAAATAATATATATTATGCAATTCTATGGTGAGAATATTAGATAAAGATTTTAGGAACGTAATTTTTAAAATTTGTAAAATGTTTTAAAAACTAAAAATAAAATTCTAAAGTGTGTGTATTTAAAAAGAAATTTTATTAAATTTTATTATTGAAAAAAATGAAAGATAAGGTTATAAGGTAATAGCACCACGACTCTACGACAATGCGAGCTCCTACACATTAGCTTACACAAAAGAGTTTTTGAGCGAATTGATGTGTCATTCGCCTTACAGTCCCGACTTGACACCCAATGACTTCTTCTTATTCTCAAAGATTACAAAAAAAAAATACGTGACGAGTATTTTTCTACGCCCGAATAAGACGTTTAGACATTCGAAGTTCTGGTTTTGGAGATACCAAACTTAGAGTGGCAAAACTGTTTGAAAATGGTTTAATCGAATGCAAAAAAGTATTAATCATCATGGAGAATACTTCGTAAAGCAATAAAGCCATTTCCACTGATTAACCACTGTGTTTTCATTGTAAGGCGAAAAACTAATACCATTTTCAGTGAGAATCTTTTATATATTGAATATCTCGTCAGACAGAGTTACTTTCACATGGAAAGTTTGTTCTGGAACCACTGTTAAATATTTCGTCGGAAATATGCTTATATGATACTGTCTATCTGTATTTATCAGATGTTCTAATGATTTTGAATTGATAAAATCGTAAATATAGGAATTATCTTATCTCTATGGTGACATCAGAAAAGTTAATGCTTGTAAGTTGATAAATTGCTTATATGAGGTGTAATCAAAAAGTAAAAAAAATGTCCAATTTTTTTTAAAAAAATATTCACTCAAGCGTTGCGATTTATTCTAACCACCTTTGATATTATACATTTATATCGCTATAGTTTCTATTATCAGAAATACTATTGGTACGTTTTTTTAGTTAGAATGTTGAGTAGGCTCTGCGAGTTCATCTTTATTACATGTATTATTCAAAAACATTGTGATTCAAAAACATTGTGACGGTGCATAAAGATGGAATGCTTTATACACCGTCCAACCGAACGTCGTCGGAATGATGTGCCCGACTCCCTAATATTAATATGTAGTATACGGACTACGACACTCCCTCTTCAGCGAGATTTATTCCCCCTCGGAACCGCTTTCGCATTACTTCGAGGAGGGTCTCTTTTATGTTGGCATTTGAAGGCACGCTCTCTTGATTTTTGATCTACGTCCAGAAGACCACTTTTCACCGCATATTCTTGATGTCCACTGTATTTATTAAATTTCTTATTCTAGTTTCTAGTTCTCCTTTCTAGATCTAATTTTTTCGTTTTGACAACTTGAATCACATATGACTCTATCGTTCGCCAACTCTCTGGGTTCGCTTTCATCTTTTCCACTATATATTG